TGCGGATGGCTGATGCGCTTACGGCTTTTAATGCAGTAAAGTTGCCGAGGATATATTCGAACCTTGTTAAATTATAGACCTTAGATAAACGTGAGAATCCAAATTTCAGAACCAGGCTGAAAACAGACGACAAAATATCATGTTTAGGCTTCAGGACATGATATAAAAGTTGCCACACTCGTCTTAGAAATCTCCAATCGAGTACTCAAGATGTTCAAAAAGTATACTGAGCTGTTCTAATCTGTAGCATTTATTTTGGTGAATCTATACTCTCTGGCGCCCTCCAACTTTTATGATGTGTATTTCCTGTCAAGGCTGGACAGAAATTACAAGGTAGAAAACTATTAGGTATCGACAATATGAAGAATAAACTTGAATAAATCAAGTGAAAACAAGAGAGAATCTATAGTGCTTCTTGCGTGAATACAACCAGTGACGTCACAAGGCCCTTAAACTCGGTTCCAGAGCTCGGACACAGTTTTGCTCCGACAATTTGATTTCAACAGCTAAAGAAAACACTTTCCATTAGGATTTGACAGAAATAAAGTCCACCATTACTTTAAGCACGTTTGAAACTATAGAGTGGGATAATAAAAGAGAGTACGAAAATTTCGTTTCAGTGGCACTTAAAGGCCTGAATTTTTTTCAGGCTTTAATTTCACAACTGCTTAAGTTGTGTGTATAACTGCGATGATCAATCATATCAGATCTTCATAAAAAAGAAAATCGTGAGAAAAAAATGGCCATACTTACCAATATTATTTTTTGGCTTAAGAAGTTCATCCACGTCTTGTTCCGCATCAAACCTGCTTAGTTTACCTCCTTTTACTTCAAATGTTGATCCCAAAGGACATCCAATAGCACTATCCAGTGTGAAGTGCAACCTTTCAAATGTCTCTTTCCTAATCATGGTAAATACAATCATCACTAATCAGAATCAGACAAAAACAGCAGCCTTTCCTACAGAAATTTTAAAAGCAGCTTTACGTTCATGTGTGAAGGCGCGGTGGCCTCATGGTTAGTACTCTCGACTCCGGATCAAGACAGTTTACTCTCACTGTAAACAGTCTGCTCCATAACACAAATGAACCACGTGTAGAATCAAAGTAATACGCTTTTAAAATATAATGAACATTCCCTGAAGAGCTTGATAAGTACGGTTGTGCACGTGCCAGACAAATTTACATTACATATCTCGACACCTACCTGCCTTTTCGAACTTTCACGGCTCTGATGACATTTTCCTTCTTTAATATGACATAATCACCCTCACTGATCATCTTTGGC